AATTCAGTGACATTGTCATAGCTCACCATAACCTCAAACTCTTAGGCTCAAGCAATCCTGCTTCAAGCTCCAGAGTAGCTAGGACTGCAGGCATGCACGACCATGCCTGACCAGTTTTTTATTTTTCATATAGACGATCTCAATATTTTGTTGAGGCTAGTCTCAAACTCCTGAGCCCAAGCAGTCCTCCTACCTCAGCCTCTCAAAGTGCTGGGATTACAGGCATAAGCTACCATGCCTGTGCTAAAATTTTTTTACAAACCTGGTATTCTTAGTTAATAGAATTATATTTAAGCCTTCCTTGGACCACAGTGGTTAGAGATAGTGATCAAATTTTTTCCAGTCTAAATTTTAAACTTTATTTTGCCTAGTGTTCTTATTTTATAAATAAGGGAAACAGCTCAGAAAAATTGCGAATATAACACATAATTTGTTTCCATGTTTCACTGTCTTGCCTCTGTCTATTTGCCAGAATTAAGTCATTTTTTCTGGGAAGCTAAAATTAACACTAACTCTGAGGCCTGTAATCATTATAGGGTACCCTTACAGCTTTGCAGTTTAGTTTCAGATATTCACTGGATCCCACTAGGCAACCAAAAGAAGAAATTGTACATAGTCTACATCTTTTGTATAATATATTTTTTTGCGATTAAGAGAAATTAAAAATTAATCTAGGCCGGGTAAGGTGGCTCACGCCTATAATCCTTACATTCTGGGGAGGCCAAGGCAGGTGGATTGATTGAGCTCATGAGTTCGAGACCAGCCTGAGCAAGAGTGAGACCCCATCTCTACTAAAAATAGAAAAACTGAGGCAGGAGGATCGCTTGAGCCCAAGAGTTGGACGTCGCTGTGAGCTATGATGCCATGGCACTGCACCTGGGTGACAGCTTCAAACTGTCTCAAAAAAATAAAAATTAAAATTAATCTTAAAATAAGATGTAAGTATTGGACGTGGTGTGGAGCCTGAGTATAGTTCTTGTTTATTTGTTATGTTTTGAGAGTCTCACTTTGTTGCCCTTGCTAGAATTCTGTGGTGTCATAGGTCACAGCAACCTCAAACTCTTGGGCTCAAGAGATCTTTTTTCCTCAGCCTCCCAAGTAGCTGGGACTACAGGCATGAGCTACTGCACCCAGGCTTGATAAAGTTCTGGCAGCCATCTTCTGTTGCCAGAATTGATTGGTGCATGTGCATCTATCACCAAGGGAAAATACGTGAGTCCTTTCCTTTTATACAAGCTGTATATGAAGTAAAGGGAACTGGTGGGCATGAGGTTTATCATGGTAAAATGACACCCCGAGTCTACTGTAACAAACTTCAAGAAAATACCCTTTATAGAACTGTACAGAAATACCATTATATCTAGTAACATATTTAAAAAGCATTTAATAGAATTTATCATATAATTGAAGTGTTTAAATGAAATTGTTTCTGTGTCAATGGATACTTTTGATGCCGTTATAGGACAGATTCCGAAATATATGAGGATGCTGTAGAACTTCAGCAGTTTTTTATTAAAATTCGTGATGAACTGTGCAAAAATGGAGAGATCCTTCTTTCACCAGCTCTCAGCTATACCACAAAACATTTGCATAATGACGTGGAAAAAGAGAAAAAGGAAAAATTACCAAAGGAAATAGAGGAAGACAAACTAAAACGAGAAGAAGAAAAAAGAGGTTGGTCTCTTTTCATTTATTAAATATGAAGAAATAATATACTCTTTTGTAGCAGTTCTCCTAATTAGCTATGGAATAGAGTCCTGTTTATGTGAATGAAGGCTCAGGGTATTGACTATTTCCTTGTAGTCATGATGAGATGGAAATGTTTTTATTATTGTCAGTTTGATTATCAGACTGGAAAAGATTTAAAGTTACCTGTGACACAGCTGTTATTCTAGTATTCTGGCAGCAGAGTCAATTAATCCACAAATGTCAAAGCTTAAGGCTTCTTCATATTATTGGTAGATAAAAGCCTAAAAAGCCTCCCTGAGGCTAGAAAGACTTCTCAACAGTGTGTCCATCAAGTTTCTCCCACATCATCTAGTAGCATTGCTTTCTCTTACATTCTGTGGGCCAGACAAGTAGATGACATGTTGGTTGAATGACATACGAAGGGGTAAAGTTTTACTTAATAATATCAACCTAAAAATATTGCTTTGAATCACTGGCCAAATTTAGAAATATTTTAATAACAGGAACTTCTGTTTTTGTTTTTGAGATAGACTCACTCCGTCACCCAGTGCTGGAGTACAGTGAGATCATCATAGCTCACTGTATCCCCACACTCAAGTAATCTTCTTGCCTCAGCTTCTTGAGTACCTGGGACTATAGGTGCACAGCACCGTACCTGACTAATTTTTTTTATTTTTAGTGGAAATGGGTTCTTACTTTTGCTCAAGTTGGTTTCAAACATTTGACATCAAGAGATCCTCCTGCCTCCTCAGCCTTACATTCCCTCCCACATGAGTCACTGTGCCTAGCCAAGATTTTTTTTTTTTTACAAATTTGATCATTTCTTCTGATAAAGTTCAAGTTTAAATATATTCCAGAATATGTGACTTTCCATAAGTTATGTTAATCTTTAACATTGAATCTCCTCCATAGGTGTTTTTCCTTAGACAAGTAAACAAAATAAATTTGAAGCAAACTCTTGTAAGCAATGGCATATCCAAAAAAAGAACCAAAAGTAACCTAGTTATTGAGAATAGTAATTTCACCAGCATACAGCAAACTATAGAAACCAGCAGCTTTGTTCCTATAGGAAGTATACTCATTTAGGATGGTGAATGTGTGTGGAATGGAGATAGAGTCAGCTAAAAGTGGTTGTTACAGAAATTTGTGCAATAAATCTGTAGCTTTGCTGGCCTGAGATGATGGTCCAAGTTAAGGAATATCCTGAAAAATAGTCAGGTATGGGGCGGCACCTGTGGCTCAGTGAATAGGCACTGGTCCCATATACTGAAGGTGGCGGGTTCGGACCCGGCCCCAGCCAAACTGCAACAAAAAAAAATATAGCCAGGTGGGGATGGCACCACCCCCATATACCAAGGGTGGTAAGTTCAAACCTGGCCCCAGCCAGCTAAAATAGCAATGACAACTGCAACAACAACAAAAAAAAGCCAGGCATTGTGGCAGGCACCTGTAGTCCCAGCTACTTGAGAGGCTGAGGCAAGAGAATCACTTAAGCCCAAGAGTTGGAGGTTGCTGTGAGC